TGTACAGTGGATTTTACTGTTGATCGCACCGCTGAAGAACCTCACCTGCGGTCAGCAATTTGTCTGTCTGGTCTATTAACTGAGTTTGAGCTTTCTGATGTGTGGAGAGTAAGGAATGCAAAAGTTAGGCAGTACACATGGCTAAAAGTTAATGAAGGTCATGTCAGTGCAGCAAGGTTAGACAGGTTGTATGTATCTGAGCAATACTGTAGTAGGGTTGGAAGGTGTGACATTACTCCTGTGGGTTTCTCTGATCACCATATTGTCACTGTTGATATTCACTTGTCCTGTCCACGAAGGTCATCATCTTATTGGTATTTTAATGTTAAATTGTTACATGATGTCATGTTTTTGTGAAAGGTTTTAGTTGTTTTGGGAAAAATGGAGGGTTACAAAAGGGAATTTTGAGTCCTTGAGACAATGGTGGGAGGTTGGGAAGGACCAAATACGATTATTTTGTCAACAGTATACTGCTCTGTCTCGAATTGAAGTTAAAGAGACTATCAGGGCCTTGAACAGAACATTAAATCTATTGAATTGAAGTTGCTCACTCAGAATGACCCCGGACTAGTCATGAACTTACAGGACAAGAAACATGAATTGAGGTCGTTTCTGCATGAAAGAGTGAAGGGTGCCTTGATTAGGTCTCATTTCGCTTCCCTCAAGGATATGGAAGCTCCTAGTGCTTTTTTTTTTAACCTAGGACAGTCGACATTGCAACGTAAACAGATGGTCTGCCTTCGTCTCCCTGATGGGAAGGTGACCACGGATGACAGTGAAATGCGTCAACATGCCGTGGATTTCTATTCTGCCCTCTATAAGGCGGAGGATTGTGACTCTCTGTGTACTGAACAGTTGTTACACGGTCTTCCTCAATTGGGACCTGAGCAAAGAGTCGCATTGGACTCTGACATTACACTGCAAGAGCTGTCCACAGCAGTTATGCAGCTCTCAACAGGCCGAGCCCCTGGCATTGATGGTTTACCATCTGAGTTTTATAAGCACTTTTGGGGGTCTATTGGGGAGGATTTTTATGAAGTGGTGTGTGAATCTTTTCATGAGGGCTCTCTTCCTGTATCTTGTCAACGTGCGGGGTACTTTCACTGTTGCCAAAAAAGGGGGATTTGGCTCTCATAAAAAATTGGAGACCTGTTGCTTTGCTGTGTGCAGAATATAAAATTGTTTCTAAATGTCTCTCAAAACAGGTTGAAAGAGTATCTGGGATTGTTGGTCCACAAGGACCAGTCCTACTGTGTACCTGATCGCTCTATTGTGACAACTTGTTTCTAATAAGAGATGTTTTGGACATTTGTAAAACTGTCTGATGTAAATGTGGGTTTACATTCTTTGGATCAGGAGAAGGCTTTTGATCGTGTGGACCACCAGTACTGTTTCAAAACAATGAAAGCCTTTGGGTTTGGGGATGTTTTTTTGTCTTGGATGAATTTACTGGTATCAGGCAGGGATGCCCAATTTCAGGGCAGTTATACAGTCTGGGATTGAACCAATGCTTTGTTTTTAAGAGCTAGCTTACTGGTTTCTCGTGGCAAGTTTGTAAATGAAGGGGTCCCACGAGAGCACGTCTGAGTTTGCAGATGACGTGACAGTTTATTACAGGGTTGAGGATGTTAGTTCCTCAGACGCTTTAAGGTTGTATGAGGGGGCCTCCTCGCAGAGTCAAATTGGGGAGGAAAGAGTGAGCGATGTGCGGCAGGCACAGCTTCAGATGGGGTCCGCATCACGGTTACCAGGGGGGCTTTCAGTGGGGCAGAGATGGGATGAAGACATTGGGGTTTTTCTCAGGTCCGATGTCTTTCAGAAAAGAATGGGAGAGGGTGTAGTGGCAAGTTGTGTGCCAGCTGTCACAGATGAAATGGGTGCGCCCCAGCTGTCTTATAGGGGGAAGAGGTACTGTAGCTAATAACTAGCTGCCTCTACCCTGTGGCACAGACTAATGATTTACAGCCCACCAAAGGGTCTGATACAAGCCGCGCCGTGTAGAATAGAAAATTTGACTAGATAATCCAACTCAAAAAATATCTCTCAAGACATTCGGAGCCTGTGATTCACAGAATTAGACTTTATTGCAGAACAAAGCCCAGAGTTTGATCCATGGCACACACAAACTGCCAATTTCCTGGCTTAAATATCTCTTATATCCACACAAATGAAAAAAAACATTCGTAAATTCCTAACCTTTTTGGAGCTTCATGTACCCACACCTCTCATTCTATCATATATTGGATGCGTGCTAGGCCCCTTCTTTAAAAGCCCTTTCTTAAAACAAATAATTGTAATCTACCATATGTTATAACAAAACCTAGGCCACAGTTTTAAGACGCCCATGTGAAAGAACACATGCCATCATTTAAAGCACAGCATATACTCCATGTGTCTATATTCCTCTAATTTAGCATATATCTGGATTATAAAACTATCAAAAACATGTTCATGTTCTTTTCACCATTATCATTCATAAATAACACATTATAAAACATTTATCATTCTCAGCCTCCCGGCCCCTGACGATATGTGCATGTGGCATGTGTCAGGTCATAAGCATAAAGAAACATGCCTAAACTAGTTCATTGTTACTTCAATCTCACAACACAAGCCATCCACGTCAGGACATGCCCAGACCAGCTGGCAGGCGAGTTTTATGAAACAAAAACACATAAATGTCTCTGCTTATGGTATTCCACCCTTCAAATGGTTCTCAATCCATAAACATTTTAAGGCATATAGGTTTTTAAATTACAACATACCGTGCTTATTACTATATTATTATTTTACCCTTTGACTCTCCTACATTTGCCTTAATGATACATAAAAATCCACCCCTACCATAATACAAGAGCTTCAGAGGGACCCTTGTAAATCTTTGGTCTGGACCAACATTGGATTAACGCGTTTCAGCCCTGTAACTGCCACTGAAGAGGGTGTGCAAGGGCCTGGTGGACATTTCTTCCAGGATCCTGGCTTTCCGGCTTCAAAGCAGCCCAGAAGAGAATGTACATGAGGTTTCTAGCGGGTTAAACAGCCGTACGAATTGATGAGGAGAGCGGGGGCGACTGTTTGGGCTTAGAAAGCACCTTTTCCTCTTAAGCTGGAGGGGGGTGAGTTGACTGGCCTGACTCCATTTTATGAGGCTGTTATGCAAGGCTGGAGAGTTCTGGTCCACGTTCCGTAAGGACCTGCACCGCCACAAGGGATGTGGCTTTTTGAAGAGCCCTTTTTCACAACACTGCCATCCAGTCCCGTGTGTTCTGGGTTTCAGCTAGCCTACGTTCATGCCTGTTAAGGAGTGGGGTCTGTACTAAGCTGGGTCATGTGAGTGTGGAAAACAGGAATAGTTCGTTGGAGGGAGCTGGGAGAAGAGCGGGGATCCGATCGTCTCACACTGAGGAAGGTCGTCGATGAGGTCTGTGATCCTTGGCAAGTTACTTCATCTGCAGTAGGTGACAGTATGTTGACTGACACTTCCAATTCTGCTCGGTTGGAAGGAGTGTCTGGATTATGTGTCCCTGAACACTGAGTGTTAGTGCTGCGGCGGGGGCGGTTCGAGGAGGACGTGGGGATGCTGGATTCCTTCGATACCCCGGAGCTGGGGGGAGTTCAAGGAGGTGGGAAAGGAAGGCCATTGTACAGAATATGTGTAAAGGGGTCCCATGCCTCTTCCCTGGAAGGGGTGTAAAATCGACGAGTCGTGGGCGGGTTGTGGCTTGGTCCAGGTGCTCCCCAAAAGGTGTGGCGAACATTATACAAACTGTATTGATAAGAGGACAGCTGACTCCATGGAGGATAATGCATGGAAGCACATAGCCACCAAACATGTTTTTGTATCTGGACACCTGGATCCTAAATGTTGGCGGAGGGGTAGGGGTGTCCATTCCTTGTGCTCCAGTATGAAACTCTGGCACATTGTTTTTACAGTGTCCCAGGTTTGTCGGGATGGATTGACCTGATCCCCCCAAACTAAAAATTGGTTCTCAGCTCTGGAGAGGTTTTTCTCTTCCAACGTATAATATTTGGGCCAAAAGTACAGGTGTAGTCAGGAAAGGGTAGTTGTGTTGCTTAATTTTGGTTAGGGGCAGACAAAATTAGCATAGGAATGGACCGAAAGAACAGTATCGGGGACAGGGGTCTGGGATGTGGTTGGGAAGCTCGGAGGGAATGTTGGCAGCAAGACTAAGCGTTGAGTTTTGCTATTATAAACTTTCAACACAATTGAATCTGTTTATGAGTATATGGGGGGATGCAGAGTAGGGGGGGGGAAGGGAAGGGGGAGGAGGAGAAGGGGGAGGGGGGGGTGGAAGGGAGGGAGAAAGACGGGGGGGGAGAGCTAAGGGGGGGGGGGGAGCCAAGACCAAAGAAGAAGAGGAGGGGAAAAGTAAAACGCGCGCGCGCAGCAGAGCGGCGCGACGCGCGATCGCGCGCGCGCGCGCGCCGCTGCGCGCGCGCTCGCGCGCGCGCGCGCGAGCGCGCGCGCGCGCGAGCGCGCGCGCGCGCGCGCGCGCGGAGAGCCCAAAGCCCAGCAGGAGAGAGACCAACACCCGGCCAGGGGAGGGGAGGAGGGGGCGCAGGGGGGGGGGGAAGACCGGACAGAAACAAGAGTCGCACTCGGGGAACGCTGAACCGCCGGAGGGCAGACCAGAAATCCGCGGGCCGCCACGCCGCGAATCACTGACGAGGCCCCACCCGAGGCGCGCGCCTCTTCTCCAACATCCACCCGTTCTCCCCTCCACTCCTCCTCATACAAATACTATTCCCCATCTTCGAAACATGTCAATGCCTTACACTGTAAGATGGTAAAGAATAACTTGTTCATTTCTGTATTAAAACATTATTCTCTATGTCACTGTATTAAATGTAGCTTTGAAAGGAGTGGCCACCCAGTCATCCACTGTATGAGGATGGCAATGCTCACAATGCCATTGATGGAAAAGAGAATCAAACAATAAGAAGGATCCTGCACCCACACTACCACAGGAGGACCAACCATGGTGGAGATTGGACGTGCTGATGTTTACAGAGTGACAGTGTCACCATTCACCAAAGAGGGAGCATGCTGTCCTGAGAGGCTGATGTTTTGAAAAAGATCCATATCGGTAATCACTGGAGCAAAACGGCCATCAAACAAAACCCAGGTGAGTAGTGACAGGATAAAAACATTGTACGTAATTCTGATTGATTGTAAAGTTTATGGATTTCAATAAAAAAAAGCTTATTACCATAATTATGATGGAGCTTGTGTTGGCTTCCTGTAGTGAAGAGGCATGTTCACTCTAGCAACGAAATGTTACAATTAATTATGTCCCTCGCTCTTTCCACACCCCACTATCTCTCTCCTTCTCTCCCACACCCTATATCTCTCTCCCCCAACCCCCCTCTCTAACTTCTCCCATTTCTTCCCCAATACATGTATTTATTATGTCAGTGAAGCGTATAATGAATAATAACGTTAATGACCAGATTTTTTTCTCCTGTCGACTTCATGTAGTGGAGATCTTTTTTTTTTTTATACCCAATGCATATTTCTTATATTTGAATGTTTTGTTTGTGACTCAGTGGGAAACATTGTCCCAATGCACTTAGTACAAATATGATGGTAGAAAAAATACTGTAAATCATTATAATCTGGGCCAGCCCAAACCCCAAAACATGTGCATCCAGTTATATAAGGAGCCCTGTGAAAGAACACATGCATTCATTTAAAACACAGCATATATCCATGTCTATATTCCTTATTAAGCATATATCTGGATTATAAAATATCAAACATGTTCATTCTGTTTCACCATTATCATTCATAACACATTATAAAAACATTTATCATTCATCATCCTCCCCGGCCCCTGAGATTATGTGCATGTGGCCATGTGTCAGGTCATAAGCATAAAGAAATGCTAACACTAGTTCCATTGTTACTTCAATCTCCACACAGCCATCACGTCAGTGACATTCCCAGACCAGCTGCAGGGAGTTTTTATGAAAAACACATAAATGTCTCTGCTATGTATTCACCCTTCAACTGGTTCTCAATCCATAAACATTTTAAGGCATATAGGTTTTTAATTTTACAACATATCCGTGCTTATTACTAATATTATTATTTTACCTTTGACCTCTCCCTACATTTGCCTTCATGATACATAAAATAATACCATAATACAAGAGCTTCAGAGGACCCTTGTCAACTTCTTCTGGTCTGGACAACATTGGATTAAAGCTTCAGCCCTGTACCTGCCACTGCACGAGGGTGGGCAAGGCCTGGTGGACATTTCTTCCAGGATCATGGCTTTCCGGCTTCAAGCAGCCCAGAGACTGTTGTACAGTGACGGTTCTAGCTGGGTTGACACAGCCTACGCATTGATGAGGAGAGCGGGCTGTTTGGGCTTAGACAAGCACCTTTTCCTCTTAAAGCTGGAGGGGGGTGAGTTGCCTGGCCTGACTCCATTTTATGAGTCTGTTATGCAGGCTTGGAGAGTTCTGGTCAAGTCCCGTAAGGCCTGCACGCCACCAGGGATGTGGCTTTTTGAAGAGCCTCTTTTTCACAACACTGCCATCCAGTCCCGTGTTCTGGGTTCAGCTAGCCTACGTTCATGCCTGTTAGGCGTGGGGTGTACTAAGCTGGGTCATCTGATGTGGAACAGGAATAGTTCGTTGGAGGAGCTGGGAGAAAGAGCGGGGATCCGATCGTCTCACCTACTGAGGAAGGTCGTCGCTGAGGTCTGTGATTCCTTGCCAGTACTTCATCTGCAGTATGTGACAGTATGTGACTGACACTTCCAATTCTGATCGGTGGAAGGAGGGTCTGGATTATGTGTTCCCTGCACTGATTGTTAGTGCTGCGGCGGGGGCATTCGAGGAGGACGTGGGGATGCTGCTTTCCTTCGATACCCCGGAGCTGGGGGAGTTCAAGGAGGTGGGAAAGAAGGCCATGTACAGAATATGTGTAAAGGTGTCCCATGCCTCTTCCCTGGAAGGGGTAAAATCGACGAGGTGGGCGGGTGTGCTTGGTCCAGGTGCCTCCCCAAAAGGCTGTTGGCGAACATTATACAAACTGCCTATTGATAAGAGGACAGCTGACCTCCAATGGAGGATAATGCATGGAGCCATAGCCACCAACATGTATCTGGTACACCTGGATCCTACTGTTGGGGAGGGGTGTCCATTCTGTGCTCAGTCTGAAACTCTGGCACATCTGTTTTTACAGTGTCCCAGGTTGGTCGGGATGATTGACCTGATCACTAATTGGTTCTCAGCTCTGGGAGAGGTTTTCTCTTCCCAACTGTATATATTTGGGCCAAAGTACAGGTTTAGTCAGAAAGGTGTAGTTGTGTTGCTTAATTTTGTGTTAGGGGCAGCAAAATTAGCCATATGGAAGACCCGAAAGAACAGTATTCGGGGACAGGGGTCTGTGGATGTGGTGGGAATGCTGGAGGGAATGTTGGCAGCAAGACTAAGGGTTGAGTTTGCCTATTATAAACTTGTCAACAATATTGATCTGTTTATGAGTATATGGGGTATTCAGAGTCTGTTGTGTTCAGTTACTGTGGAGGAGGAATTGGAGTTGTGTTTTTAATTGATGTGTAAATACGGTTTTGTATGAGTATTTGTGTGGTGGGCTCCCAGACCCAATAAAGATTATTTGAAACTCAAACTCTCTCTCTCTCTCTCTCTCTCTCTCTCTCTCTCTCTCTCTCTCTCTCTCTCTCTCTCTCTCTCTCTCTCTCTCTCTCTCTCTCTCTCTCTCTCTCTCTCTCTCTCTCGTCATATCCCACATCCCAGCAGGAGAGACCAACACCTTCCAGTGTAATGGGATGGAGGGTCGCTATGTTGTTGTGGTAATACCTGGACAGAACAAGATTCTCACTCTGTGAACTCTTAACCTCTTATTTCAGACCCATAAACCCCTCTTCCCTCCACTCCTCCTACCACTACTATCCCCCCCTCTTCTCTCTCCTCTTCTCCAACATCCACCCGTCTCCCCTCCACTCCTCCTCATACAAATACTATTCCCCATCTTCTAAACATGTCAAATGCCTACACTGTAAGATGGTAAAGAATAACTTGTCATTTCTGTATTAAAACATTATTCTCTATGTCACTGTATTAAATGTAGCTTTGAAAGGAGTGGCCACCCAGTCATCACTGTATGAGGATGGCAATGCTCACAATGCCATTGATGGGAACAGAGAATCAAACTATAAGCAAGGATCCTGCACCCACACTACACAGGAGACCAACCCCTGGTGGAGAGTGGACGTGCTGGATGTGTACAGAGTGACAGCTGTCACCATCACCAACAGAGGAGACTGCTGTCCTGAGAGGCTTGATGGTGAAAAGATCCATATCGGTAATTCACTGGAGAACAACGGCATCAACAACCCCAGGTGAGTAGTGAAATGGAATAAATAACATTGTACTGTAATTCTGATTGATTGTAAAGTGTATGTGATTCAATAAAAAACAGTTATTCATTAATTATGTTGAGATGTGTTGTCTTCCTGTAGTGAAGAGGCATTTTCACTATAGCAACGAACTGTACAATAATTATGTCCCTCGCTCTCTTCCACACCCCCTTCTCTCTCTCCCTTTCTCTCCCCACCCCCTATCTCTCTCTCCCCCAACCCCCTCTCTAACTTTCTCCCCTTTCTTCCCAATACATGTATTTATTCTGTCAGTGAAGGTATAATGAATAATAACTTTTAATGACCAGATTTTTTTCTCCTGTCTGACTTCATTTAGTGGAGATCTTTTTTTTTTTTATACCCAATGCATATTTCTTATATTGAATGTTTTTTTTGTGACTCAGTGGGAAACATTTTCACAATGCAAATTAGTACAAATCTGTGTAAAAAATACTGTAAAACTCATTATAATCTGGCAGTGTGACATTTTGTTCTTCAACAATGTGCGTTATTAAAATAACACTATTTATGCATTGGTCTGCTTACTAAACTATAGTAAAACAATCACCTTTTTGTACAGAGCATTGTTAAAGAAATATGTCAAATTAAATCATACTGATCATACTGAAAAATAAAATAAAGACTTCTGTTTTCAAAGATGTAGCCTACGATGCAATACGATGCAATACTTGTGATCATTTTAAGGAGAACAAAAACGACTTAGCCTACATTTGAACACATGTAGGCTAAGCAGATTTGTAGGCTTTGCTATTTGGCATATTTCTAGTTAAGTAACATAGTTTTGTTGTTGGGTTACTTGAAGAGAACTAGGACCTATCACTCGAAGCCCACCTCTTCAAATGCATTGTTGGAAAGTGTACACCCAAAATGAGTATAACATCCTAGCATATAAACCATACTTGATTTTCAAAAATTCACATACTATAAAACATAATATATTTTCGCATACTGAGAATGCCTCATGCGCGATTGCGTTGTTTCACACTATTTGTTGATTTCGGTAGCACAATCAGCTGTCAAAGCCAAAATGAGTATGACATCCGGGCATCTAGGGGCGGTTTCCTGGACACAGATTAAGCCTAATCCTAGACTAAAAAGCACTTTTAATTGAGATTCTTTGTAGTCCAGGACTAGGCTTAATCTGTGTCCTGGAAACCACCCCCAAAAGTATACTTGATTTTCGAAATGTTGCATACTATTACATACATGCTATACTATTTTCGCATTCTCAAATGGCATACTATTTAGGATGCAAGTAATGGTATTCAGACACAGCCAGTAATTGAAGTACAATCAAATAAATTAAAAATGTGAAAATAAATGAATAATATTCATTTTCTCAAAGTCTTCAAAGAAAACTAACAAATGGGACAATTGTTATTTTAATGCTACAAACACATTACTCCCATTCACTGTTTATGATTGATGATCACACATTTTTATGCTTAGGCTACTTGATAATAAGCATTTTAATTTATAGACCCTCCGCTTGTAGTACAGTGTAATCTTAGCAAAATATTTTTTCTGGATTTTTAAATAAAACTTACAAATGAGAATGTTTTTATTTTAATATTACAAATGGCAAACAAACAAAACAATGTATGACATTTCTAAGGTTTCTTTAATATACACTTTAAGTGAAAGTGAAAGTGTCCATATCCTCCATTTTTTATAAATGACACTGTTACAAATAATTAATTTGTGCAGATAAACAGCCAAACCCTTTGGTATCGTCAGCTTTTCATACACTGCTTGAGAGACTACACTCCACTGTCGACTACAAAAAGTTGAAGAATTAAGGTAGGCCTAAAAACACTAAACTCTATTTCAAGGCCATTTCTGTATTATTATGTAACAACCTGTCAATACAATCCTGTTGCTTGGGTGATTATTGGTTATAGTTTGGATATCAATTTAATAAATAAAGTAACACCTGTGACTCAGATTCACAATAGGTAATTATTTAGAGTACATTCATTCATCTGAATCTATTTTACTTCATTCCACAGGCTAGTTCACAGAAAGACATAGAGGAAAGTGAGGAGGTCTTCACTGCGCTGTTGCGCTCCATTGACAGAAGCCAGTCTGATGTCGTCGGTGAGATCCAGGAGAAACAGAGAGCTGTGGAGAAACAAGCTGATTGGCCCATCATGGAGCTGGAACAGGAAATAGCAGAGAGCGGAACAAACAACGGTATGCTTCTCTCTGTGGTCTATTTGAATGTGGTCGACAACAGGTTTAGGGTTTTATTGCATCCCATTTCCACACACTGGGGACAGCCATCAATTAAATGTCATTTCAACGTTGATTCAACCAGTGTGTGCCCAGTGGGCAGGTTCTGACAATTCTCCCTTTAGTTTCCACTCTGCAATAAAAACAGGTTTAGGGTTTTATATATTTAATCTTTATTTAACTAGGCAAGTCAGTTAAGAACAAGTTCTTATTTACAATGAGGGCCTACCCCGGCCAAACCCGGACGACGCTGGGCCAATTGTGCGCTGCCCTATGGGACTCCCAATCACGGCCGGTTGTAATACAGCCTGGAATTGAAGCCTAGCACTGAGATGCCTTAGACTGCTGCGCCACTCGGGGACACAGGGTTATGGCTAGGCTTAGGGTTGAGACGGGATGTGGACATGAAGCTAGTGTTATGGCTAGGTTTAGGGTTCGGGTTGTGGTTGAGACTACAATGTAAAAATAGAAAGTCTCAAAACACCATGATTGTGTAGTGAAACCATAAAGTAGTGCACCTAAGCTGAGATCTGGTGTTTGGAGGGTGTTTTAATGTAAAATCAATGTAGGTGTTTTAATAGACAGAATGTGTTTAAAAACAGAAATGAAGTACTCTGAAGCACCCAAAGTGGTTTTCAACCTGACTATTGGTACTTTTTATTTACACTTTAAATCAAGAATTGACTTCGTTTCAGTATGGCACACACTTGAGCACACACTGTGCCTTTAAGAGATATTTATCGTGCACTGAGGATCATAGCTAGAAGGGATGTAGTTTTTGTCAAATGAACGTCAAAAGTTGAAATGTTTAGCATTTTAGCTAACCCTAATCCTTTTCCTAACCTTAACCTAATTCTCATAACCTGCTTTGTTATTTATCAAAACCTGCTGCATAAATTCTCCTAACTTGCCACGAAAAGTCAAATCTCACGTTAATTTGGCAAAAGCTGGATCCCTTCTAGCCATGACCAGAGAAGCGCGTGATGACGTCTAAGTGAAAGTGAAAGTAAAAGTGTAGCTCCCGATTTCTTGAGACTACTCAACTGTCGACTGCAAAATGTTGAAGAATTAAGGTAGGCCTAAAACACCAAACTCCATTTCAAGGCAATTTCTGCATTATTATGTAACATCGTGTTAATACAATCATGTTGCTTGGGTGATTACTCGTTATAGTTTTGATATCAATAGAATGTAAATAAATTAAAATGTAACGTATTAAATCCCAAAAATTTTTTAGGGAATTGAACATTTAACTCACAAATGGGACATGTTGTATTTTAATCTTACAAATAGCCAGTGTTCTCGAGTCCGACTCCAGTCCCGATTTTCATGATTTGAGAGTGGGCTTGGACTGAAGCATTGGTGACTCAGACTTGGACTCGCTTTCTCGACCATTGTTGACTCGGACTCGCCTTTTCGTGACTTGTATTTGCGCTTGGACTGGATAGGCTACTGTGATAAGCATAATATTAGCAGGACTTGGTGCGCGCATCACAGCAGCGAGGGTTTTGTTATCTAGCAATGTGAAGCGCCACACCCTGCACACGCAGAAAACAATTCAATGTATCAGGGGTGCTGAAGTTCCTCCAGAACCCTTCGCGCAGCTATGATTTGTCAAAGTCGCGTTAATTCAAATCTGGTATCAGGAACAAAAGAGGTCAACACGACTTCTAAGGTATACTAGTTATTTTAATTAATGCAAAAACCTTCAATGGTAAATATGATGTTTCGTATATACGGGCTCTCTGAGATGTCTCGCAGAACACCCCAGACAACTAACACATTGTTCCAGAAACAATACCCAAATACTCTGACAGAGGGAATTTCCCACTTCTCTGCTGGCCAATTAGAGTAGAGGCTTGACCGTGGTTTAAACTTTCTCAGCCAATCCGTTAGTTCAGGGGTTGGTCTCATCTCTTCGGCGTCATTTGTTACACACTTCAGCCAGGCACAAGATTATCATAACAACCTATCATAGTGAGAAGAGCCAGCTCCCTTAGACATCATTCCTATGTCAAAGGAAGGTTCACAGATCACAAATAACTATTATAGTCTAGCATTTGAAGACACAATCCTTATCTTATTTTAACCCCTAAAATAGCTCTTCACATCAATCACAGCCTTGCCAGGTGTCACAGCCTACATTAGCCCAGTCAAGACTGCATTCTTTCTAAGTTAGTCATCCCATCAATTTAGGAGAATAATAAATCCCCAATAGATTCTATAAGGAAATAAATGATGAAGTGCAACGCTAGAGAGATGAGAGTTGCAGGCTCATGTCTATCAGAGCAGAGAGAAGGAGAGAGAAGTGCTACTCACTCACAGCCATGGCCACACATTGGTCTCAAACATAGGTTACAATGTTACGCAAACTATAAATCCGGGCCGACCCAACCCGAATCAACTCTTAGAATAGAAGGCCCGTGCTGGGAGGGGGGAGGGGCTTTGATCGAATTTTAACATTGCAAAAAGTGACAAATATTGTTCATGCCATAAGAGGTACCAGATCTGAGACAAAATCCCCATGTCATTGCCTACTCAGTGCTCGCGGCCGTCGCCAAGGCTCATTTAATGTGAGCGGGTCAAAGATGCAATCTGAGGGCTACCGATCTCGTCTTTGAGCAGTCCCAGACGTCCCGATATATTCAAACAGGTTTGATTTTATCCGCACAAAATCTGCAATGCTCTTGTAGTGTGAGATGTGCAATGACAGGTTTTGAGAACGGTGATCAG